AAAAAAAAAAAAAACAAAAAAAAAAAAAAAAAAAAAAAAACAGTATTCCAGGTCCTTCTTGCCTCAAAGAATTGGATGAGACAAGCCAAAAACAATGCCAAAAGTATATTTGAAAAGTGAGGGGGTGCACACCTGTAAGCCCATCACTTCGAAGAATGAGGCAGGAGGATTGCTACGAGGTTGAGGCCAGCCTGGGCTACACAGTGAGTTCAAGGCCAGCTTAAACTACATAGTGAGACCCTGTCTATAAACAAGGAGAAAGAAAAGAAAAGTGAGGATTGAAGAGTAAGGGGAAAATGTTCTATAGCGTGAACTTGGGCCAAATGGGAGAGAAAAGAATTTAAAAAGCAAAAATAAGAGTACACCCTGTGTCTGGGAAACACAGCGTGTGCTACTGTGAAGAGTTATGATAGAGGGCTCCTTGTGGCCTCTGTGTCCTTATATGGCACCTACGTCTCTTGGGATTCCATGAGAAGTTCTGTTCTCAGGTAGTTCCTTTAGAAATGGCTCCCCAGTCAAAAAGTATTCCAGATCATTCTCGCCTCAAAAAAAGAATTGCACAAGACAAGCAATAATGGTACCAAAAAGTTTATTTGAAAAGTGCAGGGTGATCTGGGGGCCAGAGATTTAGCTGGTTCTGCCGTTTGCCTTGCAAGCTCAAGGACCTGAGTTCAATCCCAGTATCAAAGGGGGGGCGGGTGCAGGGTGAAGGCGTATGGAAGAAACCAGCTCTGCAGAGCGAACTTGGGCTGAACAAAGTAAAAGAGATGGTAAAAGCAAAAATAAAATACCTGCCACATCTGAGAAACACAGCACAGGTTACCATGCAAACCCATACGCAACAGCTGCCTTCCGTGATGGCCACTCTTTTTTTATGCTGTCCACATCTCAAGGGAGCTCTCCAGAAGTTCTACAGTTATAGCCCAGTATATTAGAACTGACAGATCCCATTTATTTCCCCAGCCATCTTTGCCACACCCTACCTCCTATTATCACCTGTTTCTGAAAAACGGGGAATGGTGATTTAGCTCATTATGAAGACTCTTGGTTCAATCCCCAATACAGCAAAATAATAATAATTTTTAAAATTATTGATCTGTACTTTCTTTATATCAATATTGTGAAAGATGAAAATTGAAAAATTATCCCAAATTAAAAGAAATTAAAGGGATAAGACAATTGAAGATACTGTATACAACTTTCTTTCTTTCTTTCTTCCTTTCTTTTACTGAAGATCAAATCCAGAGCCTCAAGCATGCTAAGCAGACACTTTGCCACTGAACTACATCCCTAGCCCTTACCTAGAATTTTCTTCTGTTAAAAAGGACATTATTGGTGTAATAACGTTTTTGGGTATCTTTGTTTTGAGGTGTAGCAGGAGAACACAAGAAAACACTAAGTGGTGGGGAAGGCTGGATTTGTATGTAGTTTATTAGAATGAACAGAGAAAATTCCTTAGTAGCTGAGGGGAGCAAGAGGATGGCAAGGAGATGGTGGCACACACCCCAGTACTTGGGAGGCTGAGGCAGGAGGATTGCCAGAAGTTCAGGGACAGCCTGGACTACACACTGAGTTCAAGTCCAGCCTGAACTACATAGTGAGACCCTGTCTCCAAAAAACAAAAAAATAAAAAAAGAAGAGCAAGGAAGCACCAAAATCTACAAGTTTATATATAGTTTTTTGGAGGGCAGATAAAGGGCCAGAGTACATGTTAGAATGTAGACTGTTTTGTTGTGTTGTTTTGTTTTGTTTTGGCTTTGGTTGTTTTGTTGTCAGCAGATTGTGATAGTCTTGTCTTTTGTAGCTTTAGGGTTTTTTTTTTTGCTGCTGTTTTGTTTTTTGAGGCTTTATTTTACTTTGTTGGTAATTTAGTTTTAGTTTCATTTAGGCCTTTTTTTTTTTTTTTTTTTTATTTTTTGGTCTCACTTCCCTATCTGTAAAAGCGACCTCTGCCAGTTGTTGGGGGTATAAAACATTGTTTATTTGGGGTGTTTTTTAATTGGGGGGGCACAGGAGTAGCAACAGTTCTACCACTATGAGGTTCAGAAGTCAGAAGGAGTGTCTGTTGGAGAATTTGTTTGTATTTTTATTTGTACTTTTATAGTTGTATATTTCTACGTTTTATATCTTAGATTTGACTAACCATAGATTGAAAACATTTGAAAAACAATTCTCTGTAGTAAACTTTTTTTGTGTTGCCATTTAAACAATATAGTGTAAAGATACCTTCTAAAGTATATTGTCCTAGGTATTATATATAAGTAATCTAGGGATGACCTAAAGTATACAGAAGGAATTGTACAGGTTGTGTGTAAACACTTTATCTTTTCATGTAAGGGACTTGAGCATCTGTAGAGTTTAGTATTTGCCAGGGTCTTAGAATATTGGTTACCATTGGTTATCAAGGGGCCTCTGTAGTTAAAAAAAAAAAACACTTGCCAGGTATCATAGAGTTACCACAGAGTGGGGCTTAGATGTCATATGAGGCAGCCTGATTTTATGTGTTGTATCTCACACTATTTTAGGCTAGTTGGCATAAAACTAACTTTTTTTTTAAAGGAATAGACATAGCCTGTTTGGCAGTCTATAAGATTGACTTTTAAAGACCATTTCATCTGATGTAAATTAAAGAGAACAATCTTTACAAGCATGTAAGTT